TCACTTCAAAGGCACTAATGATGTCACCTCGGCTGGTGATGAAACGTTTGCAAATAAATTGCCAAGCTCGGCGAACAGGCGAAATGGAATACCAACCAATGCCTACTTGATCTTCATTACCACTCCCTAGAGCAAATATATTCCCTATCCATCTCACACATTCATACCTACTTTGCATATACTGTGAGCTCGGCACTGGTCAGCGAAGTTATCTTCGTCCTTTCTTATTGTACTCTGATGCTCTCGATTATTACCAGTCGATACATTGGATTCCAACCCCCTAAGGGTTATGCATGGTCAGCTGGTGTCTTGGTTGACCACTTTCAACTTCAGTTTTCACAATCATTTGTCTCACGCTTCCATGCGCAGTCTGCTTGGTTGCTGTCCTTAGACTGCCCATTGGTCGATGTCTGATAATTGGTATCGTCCATCTTTCAGGCGTATTGATACATCTTATTCAATGTTGGCCAAACTTAAGAGATTCCAAAACTATTTGAAACGCCTCTTCCTTATAAATCCGTAATCGACGTTATTCGTTTATCCAGTTTAATGCCGTGAGAACAACTGTGTTAGCGAGAGCTTTAATCTAACCGACTCGTTTACACTTCTTACGTTTCGATGGCGATTCGTGCCACACAATGGATCAAGTGATTTGGTCGTTGATACATATGAGTATTCCTTTTTTGGTAGGAAGGCCAAGTGTACATGGCAAAGCAGTGATAGAAATTCCCTGTATAACGATAGTATTGAGCAGCCAGTCGTTAACCGATGGTTAGAGACACTGAGTGATATGGCTGCGTGTCGTAAACAGTGACGTTCGTGCATCTTTTCAATTTCTTTGCAACCCTAGACCACTAAAATTCTCCATTCTCTGTCCGACTCTACTTTCAACCTTTCCTGTCTTTCTCCTATTTCTCATCCAGATGGACAGCCAAAAGACAGCAACCAAAACTGCCACACGAAGGTGCGCGGTTAATAGTTGTGTAAACTGAACTGAACTGAAGTGGCCAGTCATCATAACGGTCAAAATTATTCCATCGTTTGTTTAGGACAATAATCACAATGTTTGTTCATAGGATGTTCAATGGGTGTCGCTTATCGGTAGGAGACAATAGTGAAGTCTCAAACGAACTGTGGACCCTGTTCCTACCATTCGGAAGTATTTTTTATATGACTGGTTCCCTGTTTCGTCATAGTTTTTTTTTTCGACTAGCCCCGGCAGATGGTTGGTTTAGAACAAATCCATCATTCACACGGAGGCACGACTCGTAAACTTGCGAACAATTGCATAATCAATCCTTTTCTATTCCGAATTTCGATTCGATACGTGCTCGGATCTCTATGCACGGTTGCCTTAATTTAGATCATCTAAAATGAGTGATCACACTGTATTCTGAATTTTGTTAGAATCAAGTGATTGATCTTCCACTAATAGGTTGTATCCGCGCACATGATTGATACTGGCTCAATCCGAGCCCAGTGTGTCCTGTTTCACATACTCCACGTGATCATTTTTTCCACATGAAATCTGGTTTCTTTTTTGTGTTTATGCATTTGTTTACCGCTCTTGTTTGATGGAGTTACGGGTTAACTTTGAGTGGTTCCTGACCGTGTTAGAACTTGCATTACAGATGACGGTATGGTGTACGATAGAAGCCAGCTGTAAACATGGTCATACGACGTGTGTTCGCGCGTTTGTGTGTGTGTGTGTGTGTGAACAAATCTGTCTAGTCAAATCAGTTATACCTGTCTGTGAGACACACTTGTATAATTACGCATCGTTGCATCGCTAGGGGACGTTTATCTTCAGTGTCACGGGAATGCACTGTTCACTGATGCGATCAGCCCATCAACAGTACAAGATTTGGAAAGTCCAGCCAGTCACACTAATAATGTTGCCTAGCCTTGCTACGAAACGTCTGCGAACAACACTTCCAGCTCGCAGAACGCACGAGCACCAATAAAGTTAAATCAATTAGGTCAATAAGTGTTTGATGCGCCCAAAGGATGAATTTTCAGCACTGGACGAATTTGTGCAGTGGATATATAAAACAAATTAGGATAAACAAAAAAGACAATTTAACAAACACTATATTGTAGTAAATTAGAAGAAAAAATACCGAATCTTTCCATGCGGAGGGTGACAATTCTCTGACGATTGAATAATAACCGAGCAAGTTGTGAGAGCGATCTCGGGGATTCAACACAGCTTTCTTGACTTCTCGGTGCAACCGGTGCCCTTGATCACGTGTTATCCTGTCATCATCATCATGGTACAAAGAAATACGGGTAAGCGAACTTCACTGCTTGTTGCCAAACTCACAATGCGTTTGCATTGGGGTTTGATAGGCGAGTACTGCTATGATGTCCAGCCACTAAGCAGAAGAACGATAAGGATTCTCAACCAAAGCCTTTAGTTCTGAAAATAAGACAGCGTGTGAAGTGAAATGGATCGATTATTCCTCCATCATTTTTTACCGAGTGAAACGCTAATTCTGGTCGAAACCCCAACCTGGAGTACCAGAAGACTGGACTTCGTCCAATCTCTACCACCTCACTTTCCAGTCGTGATTAAATCTTCGGTTTGACAAAATCCTTCCTGTGTAGCTCGATGGGTGAGAGAGGTGCACAAAAACCATCACATCACGTCAAGGTGCAGTCTCATCGTGATGGGGTAATAAGAGTATCATAAGCGTCAATATTATTGGAAATAAGTATCTCTATAAACGAGCAAAAGCTTAAGAGGTCTACAAAAAAGTTAGATCTTTCTCTTTCAGATCAGGGATAAATATTGGTGAGTAGTATGATCAGTGTAGAAAAATACAGACAGTCATAAGTTTAAGAATAAGAGTATTTGGACGGTCAGTTTCCCGAGACTGCAAGCATTAAAATACAGTTTTTTTAATTACACACCTGAGCGTGATGAACAACGG